GGGCTGGCTGGCTTGTGGTGCTGGGGGATTGAACCGCGGTCCCTGTGCTTTGCTAAGCATGTTCTAAGTAGGTGCTTTAGACCACTGAGCCATCTCACCAGCCCAAAGTAACTTTTTTTTTTGGTGGAACCGGGCATTGAACTCAGACCCTTGCGCTTGCCAGGGAAGCGCTTATTCTACTGAGCCATCTCCCCAAGCTTTGCTTTTGATAGGAGAAATTATCCCAAGTTTGCAAAAGGCAAATAGGAAACTACTGCCCTTTTAAAAATGGTTAGGAATCTTAGCTCCACATTAAATTTTCCTTTCATCTAATATATCCTAAATATTATCATACAAGCAGCTTTTCAGAATAAAGCAAATTATTAATGAGATGATAGTTTGTTTGCATGTGTAGCCATTGAAATCAGGTATTTGTTGTACACTGTTATCTCTGAATTTTTTTTTTTTTCCTGTACCAGGAATCAAACTCACGACCTCATGCTTGCCGGGCAACTGCTGTGCCACTGAGCTAATTCCCTGGCCCTTATCTCTGAATTTTGACTAGCCACCTTTCCACTAGAGATCTACATGATCATGTGAAAGAGCATTTTATACTATTGCCCTAACACAGTTTCAGTGTATACAACTCTCATAGTAATGGCTTTTGGTTTATATCACTATAGTAAAACTAGCAATGTAATAGAAGATCAATATAGTTAATGCTTTGATTTCTAGGACTCTAGTCTACTCCATAAAATTAAACACACAATGGTATGTGGCACAGTGGAGATTTGAGGGAAAACACAGAGGTAGGCCTGGAGGTGTTATATATACAGTACTTGCAGTAAAACAATAAATGATGACATATACAAGAGAAAGGAAATGTGCTAGTGTTCCTCCTCGAGTGTTTCAGGCTGTGTGGTTTGGATTTTGCCAGCTGCAGTGCTGGTGAGTGAACCCATGTGAGGCAAGCCCTTCACCACATCCCCAGCCCTTCTTATTTTTGAGATAGGGTCTCACTAAGTTGCCCAAAGTGGCCTCAAACCTGCAATCCTTGTGCTTCGGCCTTCTGAGAGCTGGGATTAGAGGCCACTGCTCCCAGCTCAAGAATTTCTTTTTATTTTTGAGTAATGGGCATTTTTCAGATTTACTTTAAAGCAATATTACAAAACCAATCGTTCACAGGGAGAACCACAGAATGGACCCATGTTGAAATTCACCAGAAAGTATTTTGAATTAGAAACCATTCTAGGGCTGGTGAGATGGCTCAGTGGTCTAAAGCATCTACTTGGAACAAGCTCAGCTAAAGCACAGGGACCGCGGTTCAATCCCCCAG